AGAAAGAAAGAAAGAAAGAAGAAAGAAAGAAAGAAAGAAAGAAACAAGAAGAAGAAAGAAAATGAAAGAAAGAAAGAAAGAAAGAGAGGGAGAGAGATGCATGCCAGCGGTATAAAGGTGTCGAATTGAAACTCATACTTAGTTAATACCAGGCAGTGTACAGTTTCGTCAATCCCCGATATTTACCTTTAAAACATGATCAGCTTGGGTGATAGGAGTGAAAATAACAGAAAACTGCAAAATTTGTCATTTCATGAACGTTCTCCCCTCTGTGGCCACACGTGACAGCCTTGGTTGTGATATACTCAGTATGGAGTAATTCCTTCAGCTATATTTTTTCAAGTGACGTTATACTCACCATTATCCATTTTACACAACCTTAATGTGTAGCCAGAGATGCCTCCTCTCATGTGCAGTATTTTAGTCGGAGATCCGTCTGAAGAAAGCTTTAAGTAACATTTGCCCCTACAGTTGGAAACAAAACGGTGTAAACATAATGCATCTCACCGGCAGATGGGAGAAGGGGACCCGCAAAACCCTTCATACGGCTTACTTCCCTTCGTTGCAGGATGCCTGAGCTGGGGTGTAGGTAAAAAACTGGCAGCGGACGGCATCGGTGCACAGTTTCTGGCAGGCCTCGTGACCGTTCACAGCGACAATATCCAGTTCCTCTCCCAAGAAGTTAGTGTCATGGTAAAATGAAGAATGGCAGAACACTAGACAGCAGACCACATGTCAGAGCGAGACACACGCTCAGCATTCATCAGCCTCCGGGGCTGGTCACTCTCAGCCAGAACGCAGAACGCTCACTGTTTACCTGGGATGCTGTGCCGGCAGGTCTGTAGACTGAAACCGGAAAGAGCTTTGCTCTTTTTAATGCGTGTACTGGGCAATCCACTCTCAGATGTTTTAAGGAGGCAAAGATTTCTAAGGAAAACAAAAGGGAAGTAGAAATAGATCATATCAAACATATAAAAGCATTTTTACAGCACATAGAGAAGGTAAAGTTGGTTCATGGTGGCACTGAATTGCGAAGATTTTCTTATTTTGAAAGTACTCTTCATAAACCACAGAGTCACACTCATAAACCACGGAGTCACACCCATAAACCACGGAGTCACAC